TTCCCTCCTTCCTCAAAATCTCAGGCGGCAGTCGAGGAGGAAGTTTTGAATTACAATAAAACTTGCCCTAAACAGAGACCCAGGAAGAAGGCTACAGGGGTGTTTTGAGTATTCTGATTGAGTATTAATGGAATGCAGCAACTCATTTTATTCCAGCTCATTTGGAAAACAGTTTTGAAAGAGGCAAGCTTTCTTACCATGATAAATAAATCAAGGACTCCTCCCTTTGAGGAGAAAAAGCTACTTTGCATTTCCCCAAACCTCGTGATGAGTGAGTGGGGCGTGAGCATTTTCAGAGAAAGATGCAGGCGGTGGAGCCAGTCCCCACTACAACGGAGAGGTGACCACGGAGGGTGACCTGGCGTTCTCAGTGCTCTCAGGTCACCTCACCAGGGACCCTGCGGGAAGACACAGCAGACCTTTCTAACAGCAAAGGACCTTACAGCACTTCAAGGTCATCACTGCTGATATCTCCTAGCTAGGTGCAGAGGAGGTGAAAAATTAGGCAGTCTGCCCAGTGTGGCAATTGGGTTTAGCACCTCCGGTTCGATTCCAGATCAGGGCACATGCCTGGGTTTCGGGCTTGATCCCCAGTAGGGGGCATGCAGGAGGCAGTCGATGTTTCTGTCTCTCCTTCTCCCTTCCTCTCTGTGCAATCAATAAGAAACATTTAAAAAAAAAAAATTAGGCAGAGTCCTGGCCGCTCGCTCAGTAGTTAGAGCATCCACCTGTGGACCAAAAGGTGGCAAGGTTCTATTCCGATCAAGGGCACATACTTCAGTTGCAGGTTCCCTAGCCCCGGGTAGGGGCACATGTGGAGGTAACCAAACCATGTGTCTCTCTCACAGGAATGTTTCTCTCTCCCTCTCGTACCTCCCTTTCGCTCTGTCTAGAAATCAGTGGGAAAGATATCCTCGGGTAAGGATTATTTTAAAAAATTAGGCAGAGTCGAATTTTCCCTCAGTGCCTATCGGGTGGGGTAAAAGTAGGCCTACAGTTGCTCATACGGAAAATAATACAAGAATAAACTGTTTCGTGTACTCATAACTGTGAACCTACCTTTGCCCCACCCGGCATCTTGATAGGTTTCTTTGGTGTTTGCCTTCTTTAAAATGTCAATTCTTTTTTTTCCCAATATATTTTTATTGATTTCAGAGAGGAAAGAAGAGGGAGAGAGAGGAAAAAAAATCAATGATGAGAGACACATTAATTGGTTGCCTTCTGCATGTACCCCGACTAGGCCCAGGGGGTGGAGCCTGGAACTGAGGCATGTGCCCTTGACTGGAATCGAACCCAGGATCCTTCAGTCTGCAGTCCAACACTCTATCCACTGAGCCAAACCAGCCAGGTCTGAATGTTAATTCTCTTAAGTCACTTCCTTAGATCCCCTCTCTAAAAAACAGAGGAGGAAATAATCAAATGACTTGTTGATTCTGGTTAGTGGAGGCCCAGAAGACCAAATAAGAAGGTGATTTCTTTGACTGATAATAGCCATCTCCCCCCCTCCCCCACCCCCACCCCTGGAGTCCTGGTTAGCGGTGTTACAAACGTGGGCTTCCTCTCTGGGTTCTAAGTACACCCTTCCTCTCACCTCCAGGGCAGAGAGCGACCTTTCAACCGGAGAACAAGAGGAGTTATTGCTCTTAGCCCCCGAGGCCTTGGGTTATTGCGCCCCCAGATCTTGTGCTTGAGGAAGAGGAAGCGTTTTCTACCCTCTTGCCCTGGCATATTGCAAATGGAGTTGGGGCCTCATGTTGTCAACTCACTTAGCAAATCTGAGCTGTTATTAGTGCAAAGATGCCCTGAAGGGGTAGGCAGTGTGGATGAAATCTGCAGCGGATGTTATGGGGAAGTGTGTTTATAATTATCATGGAAGTTAATGTACACGGGGACCAGATGATAGCAGCCATTTAAAAAAGAGATGCGTAATAAGAGAGGTCCCTTAATGACAGGCAGGGGGGCTCAGGTTGTTATGCAAGAAGCACAGAGTTTCACTGGGTGTCACAAACCTTGGGCCAGGGCTCCTCACAAAGCTTTGGGGTGAGACGGAACAACCGTTGCTGCCCGCTGTTGGGCGTCATGTCTTCGTGTTGTCTTTGAAAGGTCATCTGCACGGAAGGGAAAGGCATTTTCTCCCTTTGCATACACTTAAGCGCCAACACACAGATCCTGGGCCAACATTTAGTCGTTTTTGGTGATCCTGGAAATCTGCTTTGTTCTGAGAAAGTCAGCTTCACTTTCAAAACTAAAATTTTGCAGCTGTCGAGGGGCGCGGTTCCATACAGTGTGTGTGAATTGGAGCCCCCAGGCACCTCGCCGAAAATTAACCCCCAAGGCCTCAGCAGAAATGGGGGGCTTTTCTGACACTTTGACGGGTCACTGTGGAGAGTCCAGGAAGAGGAAAG